CGGTCGGTCTCTCCTGGCTGTGCCGGCCCTCCGGCCAGGGGAGGGGGGCTCGTCGGCAGCCCTGGTGGAGAGGCTGTCCCCGGGGTGCGATGGGTGCGAGCTGAAAATGCCACTTTCCTTCTCAGCAGGGGAAGGTGCCGAGACGGGCGTTTTCAGGTGGGCGCTGGAGGGTGCTGTGCACACCTCGGGGGGGGCCCTCTCCTTGAACTCCAGCGAGGGGGGAACGTTCAGGTACTGCTTGGCAGTCTTGGTGCCAGAGGCCGATTTGTCCATGGTGATAATGATCACCTCCTTCCCTTTGGCTTTGCAGGCATTCAGGAGGTGCTGCAGCACGTCCTTGTCGTCGGCGTTGATGGCGTGGACCAGAGCCGATGCTCCCGAGTGGTCCTCCAGGCTGGGGTCTGCCCCGTTCTCCAGCAGCAGGGACACCACGTCCCCCCCGGCGCCGCGGATGCAGGCGTGCATGAGGGCTGTTTTCCCAGACTTGTCCTGGATGTTGGGGTCGGCTCTATTGTCCAGCAGATACTTCACCATCTTGGCCTTGTTGATGCTCTGCTGGTCGACGTGCTTGGTGATGCAGGCCACCATCAGGGCGGTCTCCCCTTTCTCATTGCTCTCGTTGATGTAAGCCCCCCCTTCCAGCAGCAGCCGGGGCAGCAGGAGCCGGCCGAGCCACACGGCTTTCAGGCTCTGCCCTGCCTTCCCGGGGGTGTCACGCTCCTGGCCCTGCTCCGCGTCCCGCTGCCCCTCTGAGCCCGTCCACCCCACCCTGGGGCACTAGGAGCCCCCCAAAGCCATCCCCCCTGCCCGTGGGCAGCACCACAGCCCCCCACACGCAGGGCCTCCTGCTGCCCGTGGGGTGCCCGGGGTGCTCGGCGGGTGGGCGGCAGCGGGAGGAAAGGCTTTCTCTCCTCGGGGATCCCCGGGGCAGAAGGAGCTGATCTTTGCCAGCTGGGAGCTGCCTCAGCCCTGCCTTCCCACAGCCGGAGCGTGCACTCACTTTACGGCCTCGTCCCCC